CCTCTCCCCTCACTCCATCCCTTCCTCTGCCCCCTCTCCTCCTCCTCGGCCCCAGCCTACCCTCTCCCCATCCCTTCCCCCATACTTGCCCACCCCTCCCAGCCCCTCCCCTCATTCCCCGCCCCGCCCCCTGTACCTGCAGCACCCGCTGGCAGAAGCTGCGCACGGAGCGCAGCGAGGCCAGGTCCAGCTCCCTGATCACCAGCTCCCCGCCCTCCGCCTGGGCGCCCAGCTCGGCGCGGATCTCGCGGGCCGCCTGCTCGGCCCGGCCGCGGTCCCGGCAGCCCATGATCACCCGGGCCTGCATCCGCAGCAGCTCGGCCGCCGTGGCCCGGCCCAGCCCGCTGTTCGCGCCCGTGACGATCACCGTCTTGCCCCGCATCAGCGCGGCAGCCGCGCCCCGCGAAGCCCGGCCGGCCCCGGTCAGGTAGCGGCGGGCGATCAGCAGCAACCCCCCGCCCAACACCGCGGCCAGCAGCGCCGCAGCGGCCATAGCCCAGCGCTCGGGGCCAGCAAGGGCCGAACGACACCCGCCCCGGCGTTTTTCCCAGGGCGCAGCCGGCGCTACACCGCCGCCGGATGCCGAGCGCCGCGTACCGGTGTTTAGATACCGATTGGCCAGCGCGGTCCCCTTCGCTTTGCATTCTGGGACTCGTAGTTTCATCCGCCTGCCCTGCGCGGAGCCCTTGGGCTGGGTTAGCCCCGAGCTGAGGTACAGCGATGTCCCGCCACAACCGCGCTAGCTGTGCTGTGAGCTGCGCAGCACTTCCCCCGTGCAGGGCAGCCCCTGAGCTACTGGCACCCCAGACAGAGACGCAAACGCGTTTGAGCAGATACAAGTGTCTCCGGCAGCCACCACCCTTTTCTTGGTCAGACTGGGACTGAGTCCAATATAGGGTGACCAGATGTCCCGATTTTATAGGGATAGTCCTGATTTTGGGGGGTTATTCTTATATAGGCTCCTATGACTCCCCACCCCCGTCCCGATTTTTTACACTTGCTATCTCGTCACCCAAAGCCCGAAAGACTGAAAAAAATCAAAGCTCCCATGGCAAAAGGGAGACCTCTGTTCTGAAATCAATAAGGGAGCGTTCAGGGAAGACAGCAGGTGCAAAGTACTACAATGAAAAATCAGATACACAACGACAAATGGGGAGACGTTGGAGAAAGCCCGGAGATTACTGGTCTAGAAAACAGAACCTATGAGGGAAGAGTGGAAAAAATGGGTTCAGTCTCGAGAAGAGAAGACTGAGGGGGGATTTGATAACAGTTTTCAAGTATATAAAAGGTTGTTACAAGGAAGAGGGTGAAAAATGGTTCTCTTTAACTTCTAAAGATAGGACAAGACGCAATGGGCTTAAACTGCAGCAAGGGGAAGGGGGTTCTGTTGGATATTAGGAAAAAACTTCCTAACTGTCAGGGTAGTTAAGCACTGGAACCAATTGCCTAGGGCTGTTGTGGATTCTCTGTCACTGGAGGTTTTTAAAAACAGGTTAGACAAACACCTGTTAGGAATGGTCTAGTTATTACATAGTTCTGCCTTGAGTGCAGGGGACTGGACTAGATGAGGTCCCTTCTAATCCTACACTTCTGTGATTCTATGAAAATGGCAAAACTTTGGCAGTAATACTGTAGAACAGGATCTGAGGGTTATAGTTGATCACAAATTAAATATAGCTGACAATGTGCTACAGTTGCAAAAAAGACTGATATTCTAGGTTATGTGAACAGGAGTGTCATTTCAAAGAGAGGTAATTGTCTCACTGTACTCAGCACTCATGAGGCCTCAGCTGGAGTACGGTGTCCAGTTCAAGGCACCCCTTCAGCTACAAGGAAATATTTAAATAAAAAAAAAAGGCATGTTTAGTCTTGAGAAAAGAAGATTGAGGGGGAACTTGATAATAGTCTTCAGACACATTAAGAGCTGTTATAAAGTCAAGAGGCTGGGGATCAGTTGTTGTCCATGTCCACTGAAGATAGGACAAAAAGTAATGGGCTTAATCAGTAAGGCAGATTTAGGTTAGATATTATGAAAAACTTTCTAACTAAAAGGACAGTTAAGTATTGGAATAGGTTTCTGAGGGAGGTTATGGAATCTCCATCACTGGAGGTTTTCAACAGGTTAGACAAACTTTGGTCAGGAATGGTCTAGCGCAGGGGGCTAGACTAGATGACCTTGGTCCCTTCCAGCCCTACGTATCTACAATTCTGTTAAGTCATACTCAGTTTTTACGCAGATCTGAGCTACTGAATGATATTGCTTAACATATTCTTCATTAGAAAACATGGCTGAATGCATTTTTTACATTTTTTATTAATGACTGGTTATGGGTGAATTTATTACATAGAACTAATAAAGAAAAGATCACAGATGCACTTATGGACATTGATTCAGCTATGTATAGACTAATCTTGAATACTGAAAGCTTCTGACAAGGTTTGCTTCCTTATCTTTAAGCAGCAGTCCTTTTCTTCTGTTTAGGTTTCCCAATGCAAACCCTGGGCCAATCTAGAGACAAAAGCATGAAGGTTAGTACTATGAAAGCAAAAATGGGAGACAGAAGATACACCATAGTGAACCTATAAATGGCTCAATTTCAAATCAATTTTCTATTGAAATATTTCTCAAGGTATCCAAAATATTTAATGTCAGGTGACTTTGAATTATCCACCCAATGAAACAAATTGGGTTACAAAAGCTATCTAAGGCCTCCAGAACCCTTCAAAACATGAAAGATTTTAATAGACACACGGAGAAAACTCTATCTCTCAGTACAAAACTTAGAAGAGGGATATATATCTACCATGTACTGATTGCTGATTTAATCTAATACATGATAAAGACCATGCTATTATCTGACCAGGCTCCTGTTTTTCTTAATATTCATCTCCAGGGAGCACTAAAACATAGGACCTTGTTCTACCCTGAGTTCATTGGGTAAATTGAGTTTGAGACCCCTGCCTTAAAGGGACCTGATTTTAAAAAGAGCTGAACATCCACTTTCCAAAAATCAAAGCTACTCAAGTTGAGCACCCACAGAAATCACTAGTCTACATTGAAAGAAAATGTTGCCTAGGATTTTTTGCTGAGGACAAATGTATTTCCCTGTTAAATTAGAAAATAGCATAATTGATAAGACAAATAATTCAGCTACTAAAAGATGAGCATGATCAGTCAGGATCACAAAGCACATTAAATACTTACAACATTGAGAGGACAGCTAAGTAGTGTAATGGCCGAAAAACAAAACCAAAAAAACACCCCCAAACATAATAATACTTCACAATGATACCACTTGAGCATCTCAAAATATTTTACAAACATCTACCCACCTTAAAACCACAACACCGCTACAACAAAGGTAGATGTAGATAAACCTGTACATTCTGGCTCATCATTCATAGGTGCAATTTGGTGAAGTGTCAAGCACCCTTATTTCCAATAGTTATTGCTGCTAGAATCTGAGGGTGCTCATCACCTCACAGGACTGAGCCTGAGGTAGCAAACATTTTGTATATAAACTCAAGTACAATTGTACAGAAGCTAGTAAACTAAGTAACACAAGCACAGTGCAACACACAGAATAACATACATTTTGAAGCGTCTGAGTTTTTCCTCCTTTCTGAAGGAAAATAAAAAGAAGGAAGTAAATCAAACTTGTCCTCCAAACCCAGCTCTCCCGTTAGCATAATAAAACCACCTCCACAAGAGGCGGTAGCTATGTCAGCGTCAGAAGCTCTCCTGTCAACAGAGCGCTGTTCACACTGGTGCTTAGGGCGGTGTAACTAACATTACTCAGGGGAGTGGCTTAATCACACCTCTGACCAAGATAGGTTACTTATTGATAGTTAAGGCTAAGATTTAGTTAGGGGTATTTTTGGTAAAAGCCATAGACTGGTCACGGGCAATAAATAAAAATTCACGGCCCATGACCTGTCCATGACTTTTACCAAAAATACCCCTGACTAAATCTCTACTTCTGGGGCCCCGCTGCTGCGGGGAGCCCCTGCTGGGGGCAGGGGCGGCTCCAGGCACCACCGCACCAAGCGCGTGCCCGAGGTGGCAAGCCGCGGGGGGCAGCCTGCTGGTCACCACGAGGGCGGCAGTCAGGCTGCCTTAGGCAGCATGCCTGCGGGAGGTCAGCCGGTCCCCCGGTTTCGGCGGCAATTCGGCGGCGGGTACGACGAAGGTGCGGGACCAGCAGACGTCCGACAGGCATGCCGCTGAATCCGCGTTACCAGCAGACCTTCCGCAGGTGTGCCGCCGAAAGCCGCCTGACTGCCGTGCTTGGGGCGGCAAAATACATAGAGCCGCCCCTGGCTGGGGAGGGGTGGGGGGGATGCTGCTCCAGTGCTGGGGGTTGACTGCCTCCTGGTTGCTGCTCCCAGGGACCACTCTCCGGATGGCCTCCGGGTGCCCCTGGGGCCACTGCTCCAGCTGCTTGGGCGGTCCCCAGGGCTCCCGCAGGAATGCTGCTCGGGTGTTCCCCGGAGCCAGCCACACTGGCTGCTGTTCTAGTGATCCCCAGAGCCAGCTGCCTGGGGTTGCCCGCTAGAGCAGCTGGCCCCGGGTCGCTCCAGCAGCAGCAGGTGCGGCTGGCCATGGGTCACTAGGGCAGCTGGCCCCAGGGCCCTGAAGTCAGCCACACCAGCTGCTGCAGAAGTCATGGAGGTCACAGAAAGTCACGGAATCCATGACTTCCGTGACCTCTGTGAAAGAATCGCAGCCTTAGTGATAATGTGTACACACCCTGAGTGTGTGTGTGTGTGAGAGAGAGAGGGAAAGCTAAGTCAGAGGGATGAGTCTAAGAACCACACCCAGAAAAGATGCTGACCTGGAGCAATGCCTAAAGATACCCCAAACCTCATCTCTGCGTGATTATCCCAATCAGAATACACCAACCAAATTAATATTATCAAGAAGACAACAAAGTCAGCAACAGGCCTAAAATATATTTTCAGTCTAAATCCTTTCCAAGAAGCCCTGCCACAGTATATCAGAACAAAAGTTTGGCCAATCTGGTAAAGGTATTTGATTAAAAACTTAATCACCTCTATTCAGTCAGTTCTTCAGTGTATTATATTTGTATAATGGGTTGTTTCCATAATGAGAAATTTAGCCCCTGAGCAATGATCATTGTTTTCCAAAATTAAAGCTTTCCAGGAGGATTCAAGGTATCTAGCTCACTACCATCTCTCAGGACAGCTGGCTTGATGTATAGCTTAATAGCCACTTGTAATCCCAAGGCAATTCTCAGTTTTACTGCATTCCAGAACTCTAATCTTTGGAGTTTGGCAGAAAAAAATACTTTTATTTTGAAGTTTCAGGTCACAAAGGTAGTATATATCCTCCAAATTTTCAAAAGGTTACACGGGATTGCAACCTGATTCCTTGTTGATGAGTTCTTTACTAAATTCTCAGGCAGATTTTAAAAATATGCTTCAAACTGTTGCAGAACATTCCAAAAAATACATTATCATTTTACTTTTGATTCTGTAATGGACAATGGACAAGTCTATCTCGTTAGAGAAGATGCCAAACAAATACTTGGGATGTGCCAATTCAATCACAGAGCTATACAAAACCAAACCAGATACCAGGATATTTCTTTTGCTTATATTAAAGAAAACTGTAAACACAGCATTTGCTAACTACAGAAAACTTAATCAGCAATCTTCATACCTCATGGCTAGAATCACTGTGGATGGTATTTTTAAAAGTGGCCTCTGATTCTGTCTTCTTCTCTTTTTTTTAAACACTCAACTTGAAATATATTGAACCTGATTTTCAGAGATGCTGTACACTCCCACTCACCTCAGCTGAGTTGTGTGTGCTCAGCACTTTAGATAATCAGCTGCCAAGGTGTCAGGATGGGCATCCAAAATCTGAGGCATACAAAATCAGAGGCCCCTTTTCAAAATTTTGGCCTAAATGTGTCCTGAGATTTAAAGTCGATCCCTTGTGGTTTGCATTCAGAAAAATTATAAAGTGTGTGAAGAGGAACCTCCTTTGGAAGGATGAAATAGGATTTGTGCTAACTTTATCTCAGCTAGAATGTGTTCTTGCATATCTTACATTGCTGACATCTTGTAACATGTATCTGACATATCTGAAGGTAAGCCTGCATAACTAAAACATCAAAGAACAGAACCTTCAGTGTCAATTTAGAGTCTGACTGCTGATGAACAAACGTATAACATAATAAAAACAGTAGGATCTTTTTTACATTTTTCTCCTCACACACTTTAGTGCTCAAGATCGGTTAAGGACTGACAGCTCTGGAGAAAATGTCCTCTATCTACAGATCAACGCAAACTGAAGCATTCCAAGCCTGCTAACTATGCTCTGGCCAACACGCTGCATGTTCTAGATGGACTGCTGGTTGGATGGGAAGGTGCATGGTGTGGATAATTCCCTTTTCCATACCTACTCATTCCTTGGTCCTCTGCTCAGCTTATCAACAATGGTGCAAATGAACATTAATGTGGTGTTGAAGTGGACACTGGTCGACCAGAAATTGAACTGAGGTCACCAAACTCATTTTACATAGGCCTCAGAAGAGCCATAACTTCTGAGTGATCCTTGTTGAGGAAAAAAAATCCCCCCACCCCACCCTCAACACAGAAAAATGGCAATGTTCTGCAAAGTCAGCTTTATTCGAGTAGGAAAAATAGTTTAGAAAAATAAAGGGTTCCTGTAAACACAAGGCCACACAAACTAACAGTTTCCACTGGAATTACAAATCACCCATACAGATCAAAGATTCATGATGACACAATCACTGAGCACATATTCAACAAACTGACCCTGAATAGGTAAACATACTCGCACCACGTTTTTGGTCTTTTCAAAAATAACCTGTAAATATTCTTTATGCAGCATGATTCACGTTATAAATAACCCATTTACAACACTTTCAGAGAAGTCACACACATATATATTTTAAAGACATATATATACATATATATATGTCTTTAAAATATAGTTTAAACTATAAAATCAATACAAGACTTTTCCTAATATTAAAAAACGACAGTGCTAGACCTAGCAAACCAAACCAAAAAGTGTTCAAGAGTACTATTTAAAAAAACTTATATTAAAAATATTTCCTTTTAAAACTTATTTAGCTACCGAGGTCAAATCTTTAAACATACTCCTTATAATATACAAAGGTAGAGTTTTCAGACTTAACTATTGATGTGTTAGAGGCTGTCTAAGTTAAAGGGAAGCTATTTTTTAACAGTGTCATCTTTAGGTTTGGATTTGTTGTACTTCTGACCAATGCCATAAGGTACATGTGCTGCTATAGTACCCAGTTGTTGTGCTCCTTCAATGTGAAACATCTGATCATCAAAGAAAATATGAGGCCGTATTTTCACCAAAATCGGTCCTTTAGGAGCTCCTGCAAGGAAAAGTGCCTCATCAATCTCCAAACCCCAGCTACGGAGAGTCTTCAGCACTCTGGCTCCAGAACTTGCTGCGCTTCTAGCTGTGACGAGGTAGGTCCTTATAGGACAATCTAATCGTTCGTCTTTTGCATAAAATTTCTTCTGCAGCTTCCCTAAGTCTTCCAGAAAACCTTTCAAAGGACCCTAGGTATAAAATATCAGAAACATGTTTAATGTTTACCCACTTCTCCCACAAACATCTCTGTACTTTCTTCCATGCTGTCCTTTATATATAGAACTCCTTCCATGATCCATAAGGCCACTACCTTCTCCTCCTTGGAATCCTTTCTCAACACAATGCCTACAAAGAAAACCAACCAGCAAGTGACAGCTTGGCTGTGTGGGGCAGCTGCTGAATACGGATACCTATTTGCATAATAGAATGCCCTCCCACCACAAAGTATATTTGTATATTATAATTTCTATATATTTCAGTGCATCCCTCTTACTCTCTTTGTATGTTGCCTGTCTCCTTAGATTGTATGATCTTTGGGGCAGGGATCTTGTAAAACTGTATTTCTCTACAGTGCCTAATTCAGAGGGGTCCTGACCCTAACTGGGGCTGGAGAGCCCTAATATACAGGAATAATTTCTGTCCAGAGTTCATGAAATGAAAAACATACCTTTTGCTTTTTAACGACACCTGATTCTGTTCTCATACTGATTTTTTACACTCGTGTAACTAAATTGACTTCTGTGGAGTTCCCTCAGATTTACACCAGTTTGAGTGACAGAAGGATGAGGCGCAAAATTAAAAACAAAAACTATTTTGGGTCAAACTCTGATACACTGATAGGACTGAGTACCTACAATTTCCATTGCTTTCAAAGATCAGGCCCTTATTCTGAGTTATACCAGTGTAAATGAAAGTAAAGTTGGTTTAAGTTGATTCTAACATGTTTGCATTCCTGGACAAACATCATAATTCTGTTTGACAATGAACATAAATATTACACTTGGACCATTCTGGCATTTGAAACAAATGCCAACTCTTTATTAATATGTTATTGAGAGATGTACAATAGCTGTTCCATATGACAATAAAAAGTGGAACAAAGTATGAATGGACATTACATTCCAAGCCCAGACATGTGCATTCTGTTACATGCACAGAGGGCAACAAAGGATCTCAAATACTGAGTAATATGTTTGGAGGTGGGGTTGATTGCTATGAATGGATATAGGCTGCCATGTTCACGTCACCTAGGACCAGACCCAAAGTCCATTGAAATCAATAGTCATCTTTTTCAATGAATTCAGTGGACATTGGATCAGGCCTCTAGGGGATGATTAAGTGAAAATACCTCTAGAGGTAGCTATAAGAACCTCATGTTCTTACTCATGCAATATTCCCAATGAAATGGGAGTCCTGTGTAAGGACTGCAGGATCAGGCCCTTAAATATCAAACGTGCATTCTAATGACTGTCCGTGAAAAAGGAAATCCAAGCAGGTATAATGCAATTGATGTTACAATTAAAAGGTTCTTTGAATCACAAATAAAACATCCATGAAGAACAAGACACATTAATATATAAACTTAAGAGAAAAATAATGTACACATACGACAAACAAAATCAAAGTACCAGCTACAATTTTAGCAATAAAAAAGCAGATACCTGTGCAAGGGGCTTATTCTCATTCATCTGTTCGTGTTCAAAAAATCTATCTAATCCATGCTCTTTGACAATCTGCTCTGATTCGTCAGAAAAGAGAACAGCATCCCCATCAAACGCCACCCTCAGCTGCTTATCACAGTAAGGTATGTCTTTATTTGCAGTGAACATTGTAGCAGATGCAATGCCTGAAAATACATCAGAAGCTCAGTTAGCAGTTTCCACTGGACTCACTAGTATTAATTGTTATTGCAGTGGCATAGACACAGAATGGGTACAAAACTTCACTGCCCAGAGGCACTTACAGTCTAAGGCCCTGACCCCGGATATATTTATGCATAGGAGTAACTTTATATATGCAAGCAGTCCCATTGATTTAAGTGAGATTATTCTCATGCATAGTTACTTTCAGTCATAGGTGTTTGCAGGATTGGACCCTAAGTCACACTGAAGATAAGAAATAGTGGAAAATTCTGAGGACAATATTTACTCTAGCTTTATTTATTTATTTTCATTTTAAGTTCACTCTCTCCTTTCTAATGTTGCAGTGCAGAAGGCACTGGATGTTGGCTAATTTTTGGCATCAGAGAAAAGGTGACATCAGGAGGAATTTGAGTGAGACAGGAGGGAGGACTGGTACACTGGTGGTCATGCAAGGGTGAGGGGCAGCATGGATGAAGACATGAAGCTGGGAGCAAGAGATAAAGAAAAGGATTGGTTAGGCTAGCATTACTGACACAGTGCAGGGGGCAAAAAGGGGCATTATAAGAAACAAGATCCAAGCAGAAGGATAATAATCAAATAAAACCAGTGACTAGTTGATATTACATATATACTGTATATTGGACTCCATATTTACTGAAATATTTCCATCTCCTGCAGAAAAGATACATGTAATTATTGAGTTCATGTGATAATAGGCTTAAGTGAGAAATAAACCAAGGTAAGAGCCAATCCAAACCTGCTTCTATAGCTTCTTGGACTTTTTCAGAGTCAGCAGAAAGGTATAAGTTGGTAAGATATGCTGTTAGGTAACCAATAGGGCTTTCTCCACCAGTCATACAGAAGCGTTCAATCGATAAACCTAAAAACAGGCATGAAAATCTCAGATACAGAAGAAACAAACAAAATATGACAAGGTACAACCCTGCTGTGTTTTTGTCCTAACACAAACAAAATACAGTTACTACCTGAACAGAGTAAAATTTCAGAAATGTTAAGATCTGTCCTTGATGTACATTCGTCCCAATTCTTTACTGAGCAAAAGCTACTTTCCCCACTTCCTCTGAAACATGGGGTCATCTGGAGTTGGGATATCAGCTTAGATGCACTCATGGTCTACTTTGGTATGACAACTCTTGCAGTCACACGTTGGAAAGACTGAAACTTAACAACATGAATCTTGAGGGCATAGTGGCCAGATCTTCAACTAAGGACTTCCTCTATGTCCTTCTGAAAACTTTCAGTTTTACGAAGTGACTATTCAGAGTCAATGGAGTGACGCCAATTTACATCAGCTGAGGAGCTGGCACTCTAGTCCTACAAGAAGAATCTTATTTTTCAATTAATGTTAAACTTTTAAAAAAGTTTTCCATGTTCAGTAGTAGTCTGACTTTTAACAACTTTAAGAGGTTTAACTTGGCCAGAATGTTTGATTGTTTCTTATTCCCCAAGAATCCCCCCCAAAATCCCTCTGAGACAGCTCAGTGATTGCAAGTTTAGAGGGAAAAATACAAAATAAAGAAACATTCAAGGACCTTTTCTTAGAAATTGAGATTCAAACTTGACAATTAAACCTACAGCTTTGGGCCAAATCCTGTTTAACACACTCTCACTTGTTCTGACACACACAAATAAACATCATTCACCTAGCAATGGGTATCTGTATCAAAGGAACTGCCCATTCCAGGGTCAGAGCACGCAAACTGAAAATGCTTCAGTTTACAGCCTGGCAGCAAGCAGCTTTACAGAATGTTATTTATTTTACTTACCATAGTGATTGATGCTGTTTATGAGTCTCACTCCCACTTGGGCATGGTTATTAGTCATCAGAACAATATCAAATAGCTCTTCATCATTAGGGTAAAGCTCACGAAGCCGGGCATTGACCTGTTCTAGTGCCTGCAGGTTAGAAACATTGATGTGCATAAACAAGCTGCATATGCGTCCTCTCAATCCTGCCTTGAAGAAGAATGTGAAAAGCAGTTTGGCAGTTTAAACTTGCCAAACTTGTTTTATTCATTTCTCTTCTTCACCTCCCAGCAACTATTTTCTTGGACTTGTTATAAGAGAAGCAAATAAGCAGTTTTCTTTTGATGAAAGTTACAGAATTCAACTTTATAATGAAGTTCTTTTTACCTGAGACACCTATCATCAGCTAAAATAAATCTGCAAAGGTACCGTACACCACCAAAGGTCTTTTAGTTAGTTTTCAGATGAACTGTGGAATCTAATCTTTCTAGATTCTGAAGGTTGAAGTACATTTGTTTTACTCTGATCTGTATTTGACTGGAGTTTTTCCTGGTTTTGGATAATGGGATTTCTCCAGGAGCCAAAAGATTATTTTTTTCCAGACCTGTACAGCTGTTCGTAGATGGTACCTGTTAATACTTTTTGGTAATCCTTTATGAAATTTTATTAACGGATACAGGTATTGAGAGACACTTTAAACTCAACATCTAAATTGCTCCTGCAAAATTCACAAGCAAGCATAAAGTGTCTTTATATATGTGATTACAAATGCAGGTTTGGTGCAGACACTATTTAGGAAGGCAGGATTGACAATTTGTCCCTAAATAATGAGCATTAAATCCTGCCTTATCCAGTAGATATTTCCCTTGGAGGTTCCCAATCCAGGTAGTGAGTTGGATTGATCCTGATTAACCTAGACAGTGGTTCTCAAACTATGGGGCAGGCCTTCCAAGGGAGGCAGAGCAATGTGACAAAGGAGGTGAGAGCTGTGTGTTTTTTGGGGTTTTTTTTGAAGAGCTATGTCAGCCCTGGGTAGCTGGGGCTCCTGCAGAAGGGCCCTGACACCCGGGCTTGGGGTCTCCTCCTCTCCCCCTCAATCCCTCACTGGGAGGTAACCTGGGCTCAGGTTTCCTTCCCTGCTCCCCAAACCCGCACCTGGAGGCGGTGGGATTCCAGCTGTCAGCCCTGGGGTGGCAGCAGCAGCAGAGAAATAAGGGTGGCAATGGGGTGCTACGTCTGCTGTGAAAAGTGATATTGACAAATATCACTTTTCATGTTGCCTCCCTTATTTCTGTGCTGCTGCTGGCATGGTGCTGCCTTCAGAGCTGGGTGGTGGTATATGTTCTTGAGGGGTGGGAGTGTAAACAGCTATATATACAAAGAAGGGGGGCCCGATCAAATAAGTTTGAGAACCAGTGACCTAGGGTATCAGAAAAGATAAAGGAACAAGATGGTGCTTTTAAAAACCAGACCACTTATTTAGATGCTTAAATGTGCTCTTAATAGCCTACCTTTAGGCACTTAGTTTTGAAATTCTTGGCCTTGTTGTGTGGACTATGTTTAGGAAAGCTCTACATGACAGCCATCTATAGACCTACAGAGAGATCCTATTCATAGAGAAAGGATAAGACTCCCTATGTCCCCTTTCCCACTTTGTGTCCACGGGCCTGTAGTATTCCAGTACATTGGGTATTTATTGAAGGGACGAGGTGAGTGAGGTAATATCACGCTTTCACTTTGTGGGACACTTTTCACAAAGCAATCACTTTATATCTGACCTATCAGTCCTCATCCTCAAAGGAAACCTACACGGCACTTTTAAAAAAGCCTGGTAACTGAAATTCATAACTTTGCTAGACACTAAAAATCATGGTCTTAATAAAGACACTGGATTTATGGCTTATTACAACAATCTGTAACCCCCTAATGCCTTTTGTGTCCTATGATTACAGGGGTATTAACTTCATCTTGAATGGTCCCTTACAATATGTGCTAACTACTTATACTAAATTATCTGTTCGATCTTGTATTTAGCTGTGTCATTCTCAGTACCTTTCCCAGACCTGAAGAAGAGCTCTGTGTAGTTTGAAAGCGTATCTCTCACACCAACAGAAGTTCGTCCAGTAAAAGATATTACCTCACCCACCCTGTCTCTCTAATATCCTGGGACCGACATGGCTACAACAACACTGCATATTCACTGAAATATCAGATAAGAGGATGCATTTAGTGCAGAGGGTGATATGTTAGTGTATTGGCTACTGTAATTCATCATGTTTTTATTTTTTTCATTATCTGGTACACACTCCCAAGCACCTTGTGGATGCAGCGAGTTATAAGATTCTGTCTATTACAGTGACTGTGTTGATCACACTTATTTTTACTGCAACTTTCTTGAAATTTAAAGAAATTGTAAACAAAGCAAACCCACCATGGCCAGATCATCAGTTGGTGTAAGTCAGCTAGATTCCACTCATTTCAATGGAGTTATGTTGATTCACAACATTTGATGATTTGGCCCCAAAAGTCCAATCTGAAGGTAAACAGAAATCCCTTCCGAAGTGGCAGGTAATACTGTTCACCTGGAAAAGTTACTTTTGTGGACTTGAAAGCTTAATTGATTTTTTAGTGAGAAACTCAAGGTTTTAGGCTTGAAAAGTCAGCAAACCTTGACTGTTGTTCTACAATAATCTCTTTGGGGCAAGGTCTGTCTTGTTGTTCAGTTTGTACAGTGCCTAGCACAATGGGGTTCTGGTATGACTAGGCCTCCTGGGTGCTATAGTAATACAAAGAACAAATTAAAATAACAACATATTAAAGCTTTCCCTTAAAGGTGTCTGTATACAGAGATGCTATTTAAGAACTATTCATTTCTGCATCTAAGTAGAAAATAATCCCTCATCAGACTTGAAATTTAGTGGCCTATGTGTTATGCAGGAGGTCAGACTAGTGACTAGATGATCCAATGGCCTCTTCTGGCTTCAGGGACTGAAACCTGGAGTAAACAATCCCATATCACCCAACCAAACATGTATATAGTATGTTATAGGGCTGTTTACCTTTGGCATATCTCTTAGCTCACACAATGAAAACAAAATTGTCAGTTTCACTCCTGCATATAGGCCCCTGAATCAGAGTCAGTTTCTTTGCCTTGTTCTCCTTGCACCAGCAATGTTTGAAACCAGTCATAAATGTTTTTATTTTTAAATAGTCCAAGGAATTCTATTAATCTTGAACCCACATCGTTAGTCAGGCAAATTCTAACTGAAGTGAGTGAACAGAGTAAAAACTGAGGTGTTGTTTTATTGTGGGACAAGTGTTGTATCAGGCCATGAAGTTCAAGAATTAATTTAGCAACTTGTACAGGGTCCTATGTAGGGCTTGATCCAATCTGAAAAGCTTCACTTTCCTTACAATATTACATTCAAAAGCATGGGCAAGTATTTAAGCCTGCTCCTGGTACATCTTAAGAACATAAGAACGGCCATACTGGGTCAGACCGAAGGTCCATCTAGCCCAGTATCCTGTCTTCCGACAGTGGCCAATGCCAGGTGCCCCAAAGGGAATGAACAGAACAGGTAATCAGCAAGTGATCCATCTCCTGTCGCCCATTCCCAGCTTCTGGCAAACAGAGGCTAGGGACACCATCCCTGCCCATCCTGGCTAATAGCTATTGATGGACCATGAATAATTTAATGAATTAATCCATGAATTTATCTAGTTTTTTTTTATCATCTTCCAAAATAGATACATCTTGCTCCCATCTCTGTTGATTATGACTTCTGCAATGTGGCCTATCTGCAGTCTCACAATAGTGGATGTTATTTTCTGAGATGCTTTGATATCAGTCACAGGATCTTTCACCTTTTGACAATTTATTTCAGCTACTATTTTCCTTGATAGGGTGTCAATATCCTCAACCTAGGTCATTCCACACTGAGTAAAGATCTTAAGATTTGGTTTTATAACTAATTAAAACCCATGCAAGTTTGGGGCAGTAGCGTAGCTAGCATGGAACATTTGGATGGGCTCCGACTTTGGGTAGGCTGGCAATGATGGAGGGGCAGGAGGGATCTGGGGGCCCACCTCCGCCCAACCCCACCAGTCCAGCTGGCCTTGTGGGGGATGATGGATGCTCTGGCCGGGGCCCTCTGGGGCCCCATGCATGCACCCAGCTCCGGAAGGAGATGCCGCTCTCCAGTGTACATGGCTCCTGGCACCCATCCCCGTCGCACTGCCCCACATCAGGCCTGGCTTCCTGAGGCAGCAGGCCTATGTTTTTTGATGCTCGCTGCTGCTCGGCGGGCGGGTCGCCCTCCTCCTGCTGCAGCGTGCGCGGTGCACTCGTCAAGCGCTCCGCTGCTGTGTCACTGCCAGGGCCGGCTCCAGGCACCAGCTTACCAAGCAGGTGCTTGGGGCGGCCTACCCGGGTCCACCTGTAGCTATACCCCTGGTTTATCTGGGGCCTAAATTACCTGAATTTAGGTTACCAGCTGTTCGGCGGCAATTTGGCGGACGGTCCCTCGCTCCTGCTCGGAGCGAAGGACCTCCCGCCGAATTGCCGCCGCAGATCGTGATCGCGGCTTTTTGTTTGTTTGTTTGTTTTTGTTTGGCTGCTTGGGGCGGCCAAAACCCTGGAGCCGGCCCTGGTCACTGCTGTCCCTCCCCCTCCGGTCGAGCTGTGTGTGTGTGCACCCGGCGTGCAGTGTCTTGCAGGTCTGGGCAGGGCTAGCGCTGGGGCCTGAGCAGAACCAGGGCTGGGGATGGGCCTGGATGCTAAGTGGGTGGGCTGCGGCCTACCCAGGTCCACCTGTAGCTATGCCCCTGGTTTATCTGGGGCCTAAATTACCTGACAATGCTTTAAAAGGAAATGAACTTTCTGTCTGTACTATGACTCTACTAGGCACTGAGTCTATCCTCCTAACCACACCTTGTGTATGTAACCATTCTTTAATCTTTAGATTGTCAAGAGGCTATTAACTTCCTCCATCTAAACTGTGCCAATTTTTCAGTAGGAAATACTACGTGATCTTACACAGGCTTGTATCTTTACTGACTCAGGGAGGGGAGGAGAGTAAAATTATTCTAATTTATTTCAGTCGGGAGATAAAGAGAGCAAACTGAGATTACTCAATCAACGCAAACAGGCCACTAAGCCTGAAACCATTTCCCAGCAGCCACACTGTGCTCAGTAGAAGACTCCTCCTCTTCCCCAAATTTGGACTTGAGCTTTCAGCATCCTCCCTGGCGTGACATCCCGGAGTAGTTCCCCTCCCAGCACACAAACCTAGGAGCCATGTTTAGTGTATTCTTATGTGAGAAGAGACTGCTGGCTGCATGATTATGTAAAGGGATGTCTTTACCAACCACTCTGGCTCTGGGGAAGGGTGGAGGCAGGCAGGAAACTCTGTGGAAGGCTGTTTGTGGAACAGAAAGCTTAGCTGAACTTTTAAATGGAGTGTCTTACCTTGACAAAATAGAAAGCTGGCCCAGGCTTCAGGGGGACGTTCTCGTTTTCCTCCTGGTACTTCACATAGGTTTCCACCCCTTCCTCTTCGTAGATTTTCCTGTCTTTCACCATGTCAAAGAGAGCCCGGGAGGAGACTGCCACAGTGGTGGCATTTTGGGGCTTAGGCTGTAGACAACGGAATGGTGAGAGAGGGCAGGTGGGGGTGGGGAAGAGAGAGAGATGGGGGGAAGGTGACACACAGGGAGGAAAGGGGGAGGAGATGGAGGTAGGTGGCACACAGGATGGGGAGGAGGATGGCACCCCGGGAGGAGAGGATGGGGGTGACACACGGGGAGGAGGATGGCACCCAG